TTTCATAATTAATTTTTAAAGTTATATTTATTTAATGATTAAATGTGTATATAATTTAATGTTTATATGTTAAAACCCAACCAAAAATAACGTATACAATATACTGATTAAACATAAAAAATCCAACCAAAAATAACATATACAATATACTGATTAGACGTAAAAATCCAACCAAAAATTCTGTATACAATATACTGATTAGACATAAAAAATATATGCAAAATTCTGTATACAATATACTGATTAAACATAACTTCTGTGTTTTATTGCATATGGAAAAAGTCGATTTTCAATATCTAATATATGGAAATACTAATCAAAAATAACGTATACAATATACTAATTAGACATATAAAATCTATGTAAATTTACGTATACAATATACTGATTAGACATATAAATTCTGTATGTTTTTGCATGCGGAAAAAGTCAATTTTCAGTATCTTGTATACGGAAATATTTACGAATTTATTATACTATTTGTCTACATTTTTTATACATTTTTTAAACGTATTATTTCTGTATACTTTCCTTATACTAATTATTATAGGGATTACCTCTTCTGATCTCATTTGAAAAAATCCCAAAGAAAGCATGATTCTAAGCAATGATTCTATATAGTAAAAAATTTGGGATGTAAACAGAAAACTATTTTTATAGAACCATGTGAAAATATGAAGTGTGACCTCTCTGATTTAGTTGTGCTTAAGTGCAATAGATTTTTGAAAGATTTCAATAATTCTAGTATATCTAGAATTATAAGGAATGAATTTGATGATAAAAGATGAAAAGAAAGTGAAACTGAACTAGTGAAAGTAATAAAACTTATTTTGGGTACATTGTAAGTATTTTGCTACCTTATTTATGAAAATATTTATGAAATGATAGCTAATTTACTTTTTTAGTAGTGAAATTTGGGTTAATTCTGCATTTATGACTAGCACATCCAGTAGTGAGCAGAGTGAAAAGATGTATGTTGCAGATGTCATATTACCTTTACTTTAAGCAAGTTTAAGTGGGCTTCTGAATAGCAGTATCTGCTTAAGTACAGTAGAATGCTAAAGTCTAGTAAGCAAAGCTTAGCGAAATCTTAGAATAAATGAAGAGAGAATAGGAAAGAAACCTGTTGTTATGGGCTTGCTGAAACAAAATGAAAAGATTATCAAGCTAATATATATCAAATCATCACGTATCATATGTAGCAAATCAAAAAAAACAGATGATGATGTAAAATTATAGAGGGAAACATTGGATAGTGCAAGTTTTGTAAGTGCGTTATATAGATCAGCTGAAAATCAATTTAAGATTGTAGGGATTCAAGTTGCAGGTACAACCATATATCTGAATGTTCTTGTGATGGTATACCAAGATACTACCATCTATAGTACATGACAAAATTATCCGGAATTTTGTCAGCAGTACAAAAAAAGCTATTGTCGCATCAATTTTTGTCCAATCAAAATAAAAATTAAAATAGCAATTCTTTAGCTATTTTTAGAAATAAAAATAAATGCCACAAAATTTTCATGTGATTGTTTATCAATAAATATTCAAGCATGACGCACATTTCAATTTTTGAAACAAGATGTTTAACTGTAAAGGAACTATAGGCAAAAAACGTATGAAAACCCTCTGAAATAATTAAAATAACTGGTTATCCAAGTTCTACAGTATATGATATTATTGACCGGTTGAAAAAAACTGGAAATATTGAGCACTTACCTTATCCTCGTCATCCCCTTATTCTTACTCCCAATAAACGTCAATATCTTAGTCGTCTCCTCCAAGTTAATAATGCAACAACTTCAGCTTTAATGACAACAAACCTGAATAATATGTATTCAGACCTTAATGTATCAACTCAGACTGTTCAACGTATCCTTAAAAACAAAGCCACTAGCTGTTCCTCTCCTTAAATCAAATCATATTGAAGCTTGTCTCCAATGAGCTTTAAGGCATAACTAAGATGATTGGTCTCATACAATTTTCTCCAATGAAAGTATGTTTCAAACATTTCGTAATACCCAACTAGTATGTTACAAAGCTGGTAGTATACATTCTTTACATCCTATGGTGAAACATCTATACAAAATGCATGTTTGGGATGCATTTTGTCGTCAAGGACCAATTGGAGTTGTTTTGTTTACAGGAAAGATGAATTCTGTGAAATATCATGAAATCCTTCAATCCCAATTACTACGGTGCTGGCTACGGGTGGCGCTTTTAGCAAGATAATGTACCAACCTATACAGCAAGGCTTACCTGTCAATTTTTTGTGGAGAATAATGTTCTAGTGATTGATTGGCCTGCAAACTCCCTTGATCTGAATCCAATCAAAAATTTATGGGCCATTCTTAAAGAAAAAGTAGAGAAAAGGGTTAATGATTAGATTTAGAAAAAAAAGGACTTAGTGCAGAAGCTTTTCAAGGTATAATCCAGCAGGAATGGGATGGTATTGATCAAAATGTCTTCTTTAATTTAGCGGATAGTATGTCAGATCGGGTTAGAGAGATTATAGACAAAGAGGAGCATACAATTAATTATTAAATTTTTTAGTATGTTTATCTGTATATTATAATCTACTAATAGCGTAAATATGAAACTAATAAAATAAAATTTGCGATATTTTTATTTGATACGATAAATTCTGGATATTTATATCATGCACTGTATATAGGATTCCTTAATCTTCATATTTTTAAAAACATATTAAAAAAGTAAAAATAGTTTATTGTTATAGAAAACCTTCTGCGGTAAGGAACTTTCAGTAATAACACTTAAAAAAATTCAAGAATAAATTAAGTAAGAAGGCAAGAGGACTAGCGTAATGTTCAATGATTGAAAAGCGATTAACAGTTATAAGAAGTATACAGTCACCCTTTCTAGATGTATTCAAAATTTTGATTGCGAGCTTGTAGATATAATTATAAGTTAGTTATTATTTGTTAATTGCTTTAATTTCAGATAAATACTAATTGAATTTGCCTTGAATTTAACTTTGGTCATTATGGGGTTTTTGTTATGACAATGAACCCTAGGAAGCATCATTCTTATCGTGAGAAATCCATTGATCCAGAATTATTTCATTCAGCACTAATACTATTTGGTTAACATTCAGCTGATTCAGTTATATTATTTGGCAAAATTCAGCTTAAGTTACAAAAATTGATAGTTATTTGTTACACCACACATAATTTAGCATTATTTCAACATTAAGACCTTTCTGTTATAATATTCAGCAATTTCAGTTAGACTCAAGATTTGGCAACAAATTGATTATATCTCACTGGTCGAAATCTGCTGAGCTGATTTTTGCGAAAATTATAAAAATATTCTGAAAGTAATCGTCTCAAAGAGATAATATATTCATTCCCAAAGGAATGATACAATCGTTCCAAAAGAGATAATAGAAATCATCCCTAAAGGAACAAAATATCATTTCCAAAGAGATAATAGAAATCATCTCAAAAGAAACGATACAATTGTTTCAAAAGAGATGTTCCTAAAGGAATGAAATATCATTCTCAAAAAGACGATAGAAATTGTTCCCAAAGGAATAATATAATTATCCCCAAAGGAACGATACAATCATCCCAAAAGAGATAATAGAAATCATCTTAAAAGGAACAAAATATCGTTCCCAAAGAGATAATAGAAATCGTCTTAAAAGGAATGATACAATTATTCCCAAAGAGACGATAGAAATCATTCCTAAAGGAACGAAATATCATTCTAAAAAGATGATAGAAATTGTCTCAAAAGGAATGATATAATTATACATAAAGTCGAAATGAAAACCCAAAAGTCGAAATGTTTCGACTTTGGAGGTCAAAGTCGAAATGAAAAGTC